TTATATGTCAAGTGTTAGTATTATAATGTTTGTTGAATCGTCTGAATTCACATGCGAGTTATTTTTATCATCGGTAAATTAATATTAAAAAATAAAACGATTTTCACACGCTAATACATTCRAATATCAAAAACTTTGGCTATAAAAAATAACTATCAATTATAAAAAAATCATGTCGAAATTTAATAGTTAAACATTATAAAATTTGAGTTGTACGTAATTTAAATATATTAACTTATATAGTTTTATATTTGATTATATGTTAAGTATTAATATTCCGAATTTCAACCTTCACTCTAATACTTGGTCTTTATTACGCACTACAAATCGTATTGTACCTAGTTAGTCTTTGCACCACTCTAATAGTTGTGATTTTGAATTCTTATATTTTGTCGTAACATTCAATTTGATATGGGGTGAAATATAGATAGGTACGCCAAGGAATTTTCATTTTTTAAATGGCAATTACCACAATGGAAACAAGTAAAGAGTGAACACATACGTAACTGAAACATAAATCCAGAAAAAGAAACGATTCGTTAAGTATAACTAAATAGATTACCTATATATATATATATAAGGTTGTGTAATGTAATATTATTATTTATTATACATTTGTCATACTATAATAGACTGGACAATTTGCTTGAAAATTGTCACGATAAGTGTTTGGAACAACAAAATATTTATATAAGTTATTAATGTAATTTATTTAAAATCCATTTATCTACATCTACGATTAGGATTGGGCAAGATACTCAAAAATCAATATCGAGATACTAGATACTTTGCTTTGGAGTATCRCGGTACTAGATACTCGATACTTGGCTTTAGAGTTTCGCGATACTAGATATTTGATATATTTGAATAAAATCAGTCACAGATTTTAAAACTGACTGGCGTGAGTTTTGTGTCACAAATGTATACATCGCATATACGTTTAACTGATATTATCAGTGATGCKGGTTGAAAAATAATTTCCAACAGTCTACAGAAAATCACCTGTGATTGACTAGTAAAATTGTATTACATATTATTAACTATTATTGTTATTATTATTATTATTTATTTATTTATTATTAGTTTTTAAAAAGCAGAATTGTATCGTATTAATTTATTGATTACATATTTATATCTATCAATAAAATATTTTTATGAAATACTCGATATTTTTCCATATAATTGTATCGATATAAGATACTTGTATTCCCCAGCTCTCAAATTACCTACATGACTACAACAGCATGATAATAAAATAGATTTAATAATTATATTCGTGTTATCTTGTAATACATAAACATTACCAATGATAACAGTTCACATGAACTCACAGGTATAATTTATTAATATATTTGTGGTATTATCATTTCAGTACTTGCAATTTGAAAATGTATCATTCAATGTTACGGATTTTACGATCTGCACGTGGATAAAAATGTTGAATTTTACACACACACAAACCATAATCCACCTCACAGGTAAACCATGTGTACAGATAATATATATTATATATACYCTTTAAAAGTTCTTAACCAAATCCGATCAWATTTAATTTCCCGACACTTGAAATACTCCAATAAKATTGATTTTGATATTTAAGAATTTCATTCTGGATGTGGTCATTATCTTCGAGCGAGTGATTACTACTCATGTTTGATTTTCYACTTTTAGGAAAYAAAAAAGAGTCGTTGTTGTTGTGGCGGATGCACGTTCACCCCAAAGAAACCATGAGARTGACGATCAAAAACCGTCTGGTGGCCTCGGAAAGCATGCAACTGACCAGAGGACAGTGGCACCACGTGTGCTTCCAGTGGAAAAGTTTGACCGGCGTTTGGGCGACGTTCGTCAACGCCAAAATCCATTCGGTTGGGCAAATACCTATCGTCGGCAATGACGTGAGTGATAATCACCTAAATAAGCATTAACTTAAAGCTTGGATTTAAATATTTTATGCACTATAAGACCCAGCCAAAAAACAGAGTATAATAATATTAGCACCTATATATATATATGTGTGTGTTATGAAATGCTCGTATTATGTACGATAAAATATACAATAAAATAGTCTAGTAGGTAAAGGATARAGTCGATGTATGTGCCCGTATACCATAAGTATAATTAATAACATTAAACCTATTGTAGTAATGCGCTTATGCAGAAGTCTATATACGCATCRATTTCAATTCGAAATTAATATAATATTTATCAAATTATAATATAATCTATTAAAATATGCAGTGAATTCCAAAATGTCTCGAAACTGAAAATACTAAAATAAGAAATCATATAATATGTGCTTGGACAAATTTATAAATATTCTATAAACCATTGTTATGATATCGATATACCTACCTAATAAAATGTCATGAAATATTACTCTATACCTATTATACTTATATAATTACAATTTTGATTTAAACTGTTAAGACGAATAATCATCTGAATCTGTHACAGTTTACGTTATGTGTATTTTACTGGCTAAATCCCGCGATTATATATGCATATAATTTGACATTGTACATTGACATGATAAAATATTGTATTATCAAGACAATAATTGATTATTTRCACTAAAAATTGTCGAATATCGCAAATTTATCTTTTAAATTAAATGGAGGAAGATATTAAAAAAATGAAAATTATAAATTCAACGACATCCTAGCTCCCTGATATATATAATATAATATATACTTACTCGTGTCCCGTTATAAGAACTTATAACCTTTTACACTCGATATTTTAAAAACCATTTATCAGATTAAAATATATAATTAGGCGCTCACGAGAGAGTTTCATTCGTTTTTTTCTGTTTTTATTTTTTTCAACCTTCGTGACGTAAACCTCTAGTGTGCCGGGGCTATACCAGAATGCTTGACGCCGTGCCAAAACAACGAATCGGATTAGATAAAAGAAGTATTTTCACCCAATGAAGCCAAAATTTTACGGCCGACGACGCCCACGTGCTCCTCTYTTTGCTTCTTTTCAATTTTTTTACACTGAATTGATGACATCGATAACATTGTATAACATAATAACAAATAACAATTTATAAGGGACTAGAAAAAAAAAATTATAATAATTGTGTAG